AGGCGGGGGCAGACTGCCGATGGATGGGAAGCTGATGCCCTCGGTTGTGCTAACCTGTGCTCTGTGGGAAGTGAGGGATGTCCTCACACGGAAAGATTGTCTTGTTATCCAACACATCAGCCAGACCTCCCAGTCCAGATCCGCAGATGATGGCAGTCTTCGGGCGCTGGAAGGTGCGGGCACGTAACCAATCCGCTGTTTCCTTATATGCCTCATAGCTATTTCTGCAGAAGGAGAACAGGTCAGTGAGGCTATCAACCCATCCAAAGAACAAGCTTCAAAGGATAAAAGCCCTGAAAACGTGCAAAGAAGAAGAAATTTCATTTAAACTAAAATAATAGGAGCTTCACTGCTATTATTGAAGATGTTTCACTTTTAATCTCATATTTTACCCCTGGCCAGACAGAAATCATTTGAATCCTCTTTGCTGGTTTCATTCTATAGTGGCAGAATAGCTAATGATACCTAGATCATGGAAGTGTCACAAGGCATAACCAGTCCTGCTTCTGATGGGCTCTGGTCTCTCCTGAGTTACTGAAGGAATGCAAAAGCACAGTTAGACTGAGAAATTGCAGCCTATATGTGTGTGTACAGGGATGTCCAACCTGTGGTGGAGAAATACAAGAGGACGGAAGTCCAAGGGCACCTGTACAGCACTGCTGGGATGCTGGGCTGATGAAGGAGTAGACACTGTCCTCTGCAATAGGTAGACTACTGGGACATGGAGCAAGCATCATCTACAGAGATGGAAAACCCAATCTTCCTAAGTGTTGAGCATCATCAGCTCCCAGTGCTTCCTTCTGGGGCTGGTAATGCACCTCAAACATCCACCTTCTCCATATGTTGTGGTTTCAGTACAGGAGGCAAACATGGAGATCTCATTCATCCTCTCCTCTCCCACAGGTGGGCAGTGGGTCACAACCGCAGTCTAGTCCTAGGCGAGAGGCCCAATGACATCAGTCTACATCAAAACAAACGAAAACCAGGAATTTGGGCTCCTGGGCTTATGCTGTCTGATTTAAGAGGGGGACTGCTCAAATACCTTGGCAAAAAAATGTCTTATCCAGTGCTAAGGGACATTGCTAGAAGGTGGGATAGAAGCTGGCATTACACTGCGTGTTGTGTACATGTCTCATGGGTAGAGAGAGGACTTCAATTTTTAGGTCTGTCAGTCCAGTATTCATCAGATGCATTAATCACAGTTTTGGAACACAATCAATAGCAAAATAATCCCATAATCCTATTTCCTATAGGACAATGCAGATATCTTCTGAAAGTCAATATCAAGGTTGACCAGAAACTCTCTTCAAAAGCAAGGGTACTGACAGCATTTCTTGATGGTGACTCAATCGTTACCATTGATGAATAGAACTAATGACTGTATGTGGTAGAGGACTGGGTCATGGCACGAACCAACACAGGTAGGGGCAGCAGCTTCTCTATGTGACAAGCTGATCTGCTTATTAAGGGGTGACAGAATCAGGTACTGCGAGGTTGAAGGTGATGTAAAATTGACTGGAGATGCTGATAAGCAGTCACTGTCTGCTTCATAAATGTTTTGGTTTTTTGGTTTTTTTTTTTTGAAATCAAGTCTCTTGTTTCCAGAGGTGCAAACCTCAGTCATGTTGTGATTCTGCTGTCTGCAGCCTTAGAGGACATACAGAAAAGCTTTCAAAGTGGTGCTCTACAATCCAGGAAGTCTTGGACCATTGACGAAGAGGATTTGACTGTCAGCATACAACAGGCTCCTCTAACTGCAGTATCATGTATTCAAATAAAGGATCTCAGTTCTATGTTTTTTCTTTCTTTATACTGACAAGGTAAGTAGTTATTGCACAGGTATCTTCTGTGAGCTTTTTCATCTCCTAGCTGCCCAGCTCCTGCTATAAGTCTTGTCCAATGTCTGATACATCAAACTTATGGTCCTAGTTACAAACTGTGATGTCAAAAATACCCAAGTATGTCATAAGCCTGCGATCCAATGAGAAGAAATAACTTCCATATTCACACATTAAAATGAAGAGTCATTTAGCTGAAATACTTTTCAAAGGAAAAGTCTGGAAACAAGAAAGAGTATATTTACCATAACATATTGTTGCATTTTCCAAGTGTACCATGAGCTCTTGAAATAAGCAAAAGCTATTAAAGTGACACTAATGAAGCCTACACTTGACTGACTGTATTATCCCTTGCTCCCAGAGAAAAGCTTTAAAAGTACTTTACATGCATTAATGAATGATTCCCCCCCAATTTCTCTGTTGAATAACTGTAATCCTCGTTTAGAAATCAGAGGGAACCAAGAGAATTTAAATGTAATACCCAAGCTTTTGACGTACCTGTGGCAGGCACAAGAAAAGAATGAGGTCACCAGGATCTGCTCTTCCTCTTGACAATTAATCTCCTTTTTTTCAGTATTTTTTAAAAAAAGGTGCATCCAGCCTTGCAAAATAACACTAAAGAATGGATATTATTCCTATATCCCCAGAAATTTTAGGAGTGTGGGATGAACCCCACGCAATGTTTGATGAAGACATTGAGATTGACTGAGCTGTGCCGAGTTTGAAGGAATTTTTTTTTCTTCTAAACAGAAGATGTTAAAATATTTCTTATCCAGAGAAGTAAAACTCCAGTGCTGTGTAACTCTCCTTGCCTGAAAGGAGCTTCGGCAGGTGTGGATGGGCCTTGCAGAGCCCTCTCCATCCCAAAGTCTTTGGACCTGTCAGAGCTGTCCCCAGTGCTGAGAGCACAGTGATGCCAAAATTAATCTGCAGTGCCCTGCTTACAGTATTTAGTTATCAAAAATCTTCTGGATGCACAGCATCAAAAGGGACCAGCAGGCACAGATAATTTCTGAATACGAAGGAGACAGTACCTGCTCGGCAGGAGTGGAGGGGGAGTTTGACCTATGGGTCACCAAATGCAACGTTTAGGCTGGGACTGCATGAGCCCAAGATCTGTGCAAGTTTTTGACAGCCTGAATTAGTACATGTAGCACAAAGCCCCTTATAGCTACTCCATGTCCAACAATGCACACCTAATAATAGTGCTCGGTAGCATCGCTTTGGATTAAATCACAGGATCAGCTGAAAACACAATCCCCTTTATTGCGATTGCTGTCATCCACTGGAGAAACGCATCTGTTGCGAAACACAGGACTGTTGCTGATGACAGATCTTTTATGGCATGAAAAAACCCCACTCTCATTGTGCTTCTAGGTTGGTTGAAAGCAAATCCATGCAAAAAGCAGACATATCCCCCCAAACAGATAAAGCATTAAGTTTCAGAGGGGCATACCACCATACATATTTGCAGTGTATGCCTTTCCACACTGTGATATTTGCCTCTTCTGGCCCATAACCTCTGCCAAGGTCACCTGCTCATTGCTATATTTCATAACATCAGCACCTGACACAGGCAGATGGCCAGATTCCTCTTCAGTAATAAGATGTTTACTTCTGAGCAGCGCTTGTCTGACATTTATTGAGTGCCCAGTAGGAAGAAGAAGAAAACGAGGCAAGGAAAAGCGATGCCATTTTGCTAGCCCCTTCCAGCTTAGATGGCTGTGCATCCCCTGTTTCATTGCACCTTACCTGTCTTCCTCAGCATAGGCCATCCTCCTCCTCTCTGGTTAACCGAAAGGGGACGGTTGCTGGAAATGGAGCTGCAGAGTTTTATTTGACCAAAGAGCAGAGGCCCATTGAACCTGCAGAAGCTGCTGCTGTCTCTGGCAGTGAGTCAGGGCGGTGTGTCCCAGCTTCCCTCTGCTTTCCCCTGAGCATCTCTAATCCCTGAGTAGGAGGGGCATGTTCAGGACATCTGCTTTTCTGGTCTCACATGACACACATGGTCATGACACATATGCTCTAGAGCTCTGCAGAAAGCTTACACGTGCACACACACACTTCATAATGCAGATTAAGCCTAGAAAGTTCATGTGCGCACACACAACTTTCCAGCAGCTGCCCAGAGAGGAGCAGCTGACAGTGGATCTGCATAGATTTGCACACTCTTGCATCAACTGGGAACCAGCTAGCAGCTGGAGTCACCTGCTCCTTTACAATTCAACCCCCTGGGAGCATGGCATGAGCTCACTGGGAGCGTGCAGACTCTGCGAGATGAACTGCACCACCTACTATTGCAACAACCAACGAGACTTTTCCGTATCTCACATCATTCTCTTCCTGTTCTTTCATGGCTACCAGAGGCAACATCCCATTAGCTCCCCCCTGGTTTTTTTTGTTCACATTTAATTGCCTCACCCATCTGAAAAGGAAATAGTGCCTTGAGATATGCCAAACCTCTGTTCAGATGATTATATTATGGAAGACACAGGAAAAAATTCAGGGCCCCCACCATCTACCCCTCCAATTTTATTTATTATTTCCATTTTATATGGAAATAAAGCTTAAAGCAACCTTGCCATATGGGTCTGTCCATGTAACAGCGTCTGATCCCGACAACTGATGTGAACCACATTTTACAGAGCCATAGATGTTTCCAAGACAATCCAATGCCAAAAAAAAGGTATGAAAATTGGTGATGAGTAGAGATTTTATGTGCCCCAGGTAGAAGGCTACAGCTACAATAGGCACTCATAACTTACCAGATCAAGAAAGGTCACAGGGGAATAGAATTTATAAATATCCCAAGAAGGGAGAAAACCTTAATCAGAGCTTGTCAATTCCTAGACAAATCAGCCAGGCAAAAAAAAACCTTAGAAAATTGGGCTACACCAGTTTCAGGTCTCATAGTATTTCTTATTACTTGTTATTATTCTTACTAATAATATTTATTATTATTCATGTTTGCTTTTTGGTCTTGGAGACCCCACATCAAACATTCCCTTGGTTCCCCCAGGAAACTCTCTCAGAGAACTTGAAAGTCAAATGAGGTAATAAACGTAGGCAGGAAAACCTGGGCATTTTTAGAGAGAGAGATACTTCACGTTGGAAAGCAGAAATGTACAATGTCGCCCGTGATTCCAGCACAGGCTGTGAGTCCATAACAACCAGCAGGATTTAGGCATCATGTGTAGCAGCAAGTGCTGTTGATAACAGGTATTTGTTGAGATACAATTGGCACTCAAGAAACAGAAAATGGATCAGAACAGAAACTGTAAGTACCCTTTCCCCTCAAGTTCTTGACCTTCTCCCTTTCTTTCTCATGTTCATACTTCCACTTCTTGTTTACTTTCTCTTCAAAAACTTAAAATGCCTCTTCTACAAAGATCAGCGGGTACGCATGCTGCCACTCCAGCAATCAGTGGTACATTGCTGCACTGGCATGGTGCACCCTGCTTTCAGTTTGCTGGGGGCAGTGGAAAATCAGCATTAAGGACCTAAAGTTGCTCTATGATCTTCACTTCTATCCCCTCTTTCTCATTCTGTTTTTACCATGATCCCCCTCCTTTTCAGATATATCTCCTTTTTGTCATTCTCTCTCATCCTTGTCTGTCTTAGCCATCTCTGTCTCTGCCTCTTTAGTGTATATTTGTCTTTCCCTTCAGCATCGTTTTTCTGTACAAAACACAGTAGGCTGATAGCAGAGATGGTTTTAGGTAGATTTAACTGCATCAAACCGTGTGTCTAAAAAGGCCTCACACTGCTTGCCTTCCTTCACCAGCCAATGTGCCAAAGGACCGCGCAAGTCACCGTCACCTCAAGCAACATCTGCCTAAAGCCAGGGTCTTAGAGCCACTTCCCAGCTCCCTCAAGTCTTTTTGCCCTCTGGAAATCCATGCTCTTTTTGCCAGCACTCAGGACTTCTTTGAAAGCCATTATTTGCTCCCATCAAATGAAATGGTAGAGCAATGTTAGGCCCTTAATGCTAATTTTCCATACAGTTCTTTGGTATCAGCAGAGTTCTGATGCCCCCCAGATATGTTCCCTTCTTTAGGCTTAATCTGATTACATTCATTAATCTGATTCTTTTTTGCAAAGCAGACAAGAGAGATCAGACAGCCTGAGAGCTCTTCCCAATTTGTTCTCATCTAAGACAATCTCCTCCCTAGTTTGGATTTACACAGAAAACAGGATTATCAAAAAGGGACCATTTTATCTATCTTTCTGCAGTAGCTGTTATTTAACAGCAACAAAAATTACTTGAGTTTTAACCTGCAATGCTGCATTGGCTGGACAAGTACTAGATAAAGGTTCGCCCTACTAGAAAAAAAATAATTTAGGCATTGAGGGCATTCATGCCAATAACACTGTAGAGAGGATAATTAAGCTTCAGTTCCTGTACAAGTACTCCAAAGCAGATTTATAAAAAAAAAAAAAAGTTATTGAACAGATTGCATAATCCTTAAGAAAGAGTATTGACAGTCTTCCATCCTGAAAGCATCTCAGTTATCTCTTACTCTTTCTGTATGTATGTGTCTGCAGCAAATTGTATCTATAATCCTGATTTTACTGACTTGGGTGTCATTCAAGTCCTGTTTCTGTAGCTAGAACTTCAACTGCTATGGGATGCAGATATAATCACCAGAAATAATTTTATAACAATGCTTTACATTCCTACAGCAATTTCTATCTAAAGAAGTGTTGCAAAGTATTTTGCAAGCATTTTATCAAAACATTTAATTAATGCTTTAGGGTGAGTGTGCCACTTCCCTGTGTGCTCACATTATCACAGCATCCAATTATCTTGTAGTCTTCTCACGTGTACCGCACATCACCCTTTTGGGAAAGGGAACTGAGCTGCAGAAAGATTACCAGGGTGTCTACACAGTGGAGACAACTTAAGTCAGCCCAGTCCAGGAGAAAGCGTCTCCCCAGCGAAGTCCTACAGGCACTACCATGCCATGGGTGCAGTGCTCAACTTTATCTCTGTCTGGGGGGCATTTTTCCTTAATTTCTTGTACTTAGAAAAGCTAGGACTCTGCCTCAGTGTTTTGGAAGAATGTAAAATGGATAAACCCTGCAAAGGTTTTGCTTTTCTGCCGATTGCCTGAAGTGCAGGTTCCAGGTTTGATTAAAAAAGTTACTAAACATACTCTAAAAGAACTAATCAGGATTTTCGCAGCAATTTAGAAACTCATTGTTTGGGAAACTCATCATTTGTTTGTACACTGGCTATCCTAGACAGCCCCTGGAAGGTAAATAAAATCAAATTACATACCAGAAAAGTTATTCCCCTACGGATCATTTTAATAGCAATCTCAAGGAAGATCTGCCTGAAGTGATGTGTGTGCTGCTTGGCAGGAGAGAGACCTCTGACCATCAGGAACGCAGAAAAGGGATGACCAGGGAAACAAAATGAGACGCTCAAAAAGCTTGTCATGGTTAGCTGAGCAAAATGAAAACTAAGCAATGCTCCGATGACAGCTTGCAAATGTTGCCACCGAGGCAGGAGAGATACAGAAACTTAAGACAGGCACCAGGGAGCTGGGGACATGCACGTTCAGTTAGGCTAGATGTCAGAAAACAGCTTCTAGCTACCCAAAATGTGGAGCTCTGGACAGGCCTCCTGCAAGGGCAGTGGGGGAAAAAGGCTTTTCAGGTGGAGATCAGTTAATGTAAAGGGTTGCATTATGTTCACTGGCAGGGAAGCAGACATGGTGTTCATAAATTGTATGCTAGCTCTGTAAAAACTCACCACCTTTATAAGTCTCAGGCAGAAAGGAAAGCAGCTTGACCAAATCCGTGAACAAACAATACCACAGAAATGAGGAAAAGAGCCGAGATGTCCTAAGACCAGCCAACATTTCCAACTTCTAGCTCTAGGAGAGGTGTCGAAGACTAAAGAATAAGGCTGGAGTTGTGGCCATGGGATTTTGCGGAAGTGAAAGTGCTTGTGTCAAGGAACTCAGTAGAGACAGGGTATAAAGAAAAGGATCATGTGGGGATTTGAAGGGAGTTGTACTTTCTGAAACGATAGAAGGAGCGCAACCAGGGATCAGTGGTACGTCAGGCTTGAATGGGATGTACATCAGGGGATGAATGGATGGGCTGTGTGCTGTGAAAGTGCTTTGAGGCAGGCAGAAATATTGGAGAGCTCCGGAGAGAACATAGTGGAGGGCTGCAACAACACTTTAGTGAGGGTAAGTGGGAAATAAACCATGGATCCTGGTGGACTAAAGACTACAAAAGGCCAGATACCCCTCTGGCCTACAATAAATACAAATAACTTCTACAATAAAATAAATTGAAAAAAGAACTGAAAATTATAAGGAAGAAGGAAGAAATGCTTTCAGGCCTGTCACAGAAGAAAAACAATTCTCAAGTAGTTAAATGGTACTACACAGCAGTCTGTATCACTAATGATTCTTGAAAATAGATATATTCCTGTATTCAACACAGGTAAATACAGTTCATATCCTGGCATCACAGCCAACTGCTGGCCTGGAGCTCCAAGTATGCTTGTCCATAGGAAGAATACGACTTTTCACTGGCAAGGACACTTACCTGTATTGAGACCACACAGGACCAAAGTTTATTCTGTTCTGTGACCTGGTTTTCTCTCAATAATCAATAATACTTTCACAGAGTGGAGTTCAAGGGCAGACCTTTCACTGGTCTCCAGGACGATGTTCCTGTTTGCCTAAAACCCCTCTTTGGAAAACACTGCTTTCTAGAGGTCAGCAGGTGAATGTACTATCTCCCTTGTAGCCATGGTCCATCAGGATGTATTTATGCTGTCCCAAGAGGATCAATGCTTCCTCATGATCTCATCTGTGGTGCAATAATACCGCAATATTGAATAGTCTATAGGTTTTTTCCTTTTAATTTCCATTTCAGTGATTTTTCTGTAACAAAGCATAGTTTAGACAACTGTAGATCATTTTAATAATTGTCTACATTATACATGAAGTCTCACAACTCATTTTCACTGTAGCAGACTGTGACTGCAATTCCTCCAGTGAGGAAAGTGAAATGCAAACCTGCCTGACTTCGGACTGCAAGCCAGAAGCAGAACAAGAGCCCTTACAGACTGGTCCCCAAGGTCATGCAAAGTCACTACACTAAGGGCAACCAGCCTTCCCAGCATCACGCACCACACACCCATTTCTTGATATAGCCGAGAGCCACAAGATGTAAAATATGGGACACAGCCCCAAATGGGGCTCAAAGGGTGCGAGATAGCAAGGGCTTCTTAACAGTCCCACCTCTCAACTGTCAGAGAGGGCTCAGCCATACATGCAACTGGCTCCAGGTGAATCGGCAGCATTAACCTCACGGTCCCATTTGGATGGCTGCCTCCTCCTGGCATGGACTCAGGTTACACAGATCATAACATAATCCCAGCACAGAAGTCACAGCTGAGCCCTTCAGGAGCCCCCATGGTGGCCTTTCAGTTTTAATCCAAAGTATTCCTCTAGAACTGCCCACAAAGAGCTTGAAAAACACACTGGCACAGCCAGACCTACAGATAAGTATGCAGCAAGATCCTCTAAAGATCTCAAGACGACTGAAGCTAGGTGGGATTTGTGCAACTGATGTGCCTTTGCAAATCCCTGTGGGGAAACTATTAGCTAAAAGTATCCCCGTAAATCTTTCCTTCAGCTTTGAAAGTTTGCTCTACGCTTTTACAAAAAAAAAAAAGCAAGCTGTTACCTGCCTGTTTTTGAAAGACCAATGCTATCTCCTTATCTTACAAACATATTGCATCCTGCACAGTGATAACTAAAAACATGGTGAGATGTGAGGCAAAATTACACATTTGTGGGGCTGATCTTTAGAAGCAGGGTGAGAAGTACTGGGTGCAGTGTCAAACCTATGAAGTTTCTTCCAGGGTTCAGCATAGCCCTCCCAGCAGCCTTCTTGCATATCCAATATGATTAAAAGAGCTCCCAAACACTCCAGCAACACTCCTCAGCTCCATCACATAGCATGCTTATACTATATACGCATTTTGCTATTTTGGCTAATAAAAAAGTCAGAGGCATAAACAAGACTACTCTGTTCTTAATCAGATGTTTAACTCCCAATGTTTAACTGTACAATGTTCCTTTAAAGACAGATGCTTCTGGTTGGGGCTTTTGGTGCCACAGCTGTGCACACATCTCATGATCTGATAGGGAAAAGATCAGCTAATAGAAGATTAATTCCACAAAAGCAGGACTAAACCAGGAAGAAAGTGCTACATTCCCATTGTGAGTGTCTCGCATGGATAGAAAAAGAGATTATTTAGCATAAGACACAAGTATCTACTTGAATTTCTGCTTTAACTTGAAGAGATTTGGGAAAACATAGGAGGAAAACAAAACTCACAAGCTGGGTTAAAGGTTTTATTTCAGAAGAAGCATCATATTTTTCTTAAGCATGCTATTTGCTTATATTTCTTTTAGCTGGGAATCTTGGAATGTTGCAAGCTCAGTAATGAATAGTTCTTCCTTGTATTTTGGGAGATCCTTACCTTCAGTAATCCAGCAGATAGTGAGACAAAAAAACTACCAGCTGTAGTAAAAGACTTACTAACTTACCACTTTACCCCACATACTGAGTTGTAGTTGCTGTCTTGCTGGTATTATCCCAACAGTTCAGAATTCCAGAACAGAAAAAAGGGGATTTTAAAAGTAATGTTAAAGATTTAAGAAAAAGATCAAAAAGGAAACAAATTTAATAATTTAAATAACCTGTTGTCCACAGAACTCAGTCACTGCAAGTCTTATGCTTGTTGTGTGAGCATGCAAGAATAACAAAAGGAACATAATTAAAACATCACAGTATCACTAGAAATATTAGAGAGAAAGCCAAAACTAAACGAATGATGGGTTAGTTTTTACTACAAAAAGAAAACATTTTGGACTATAACATGCCTTTTACATTTCAGTAGCTTGAAGTTTATCTAGGGTAAGCATGAAAAAAAAAAATTAACAATGATATTCCTACATACTTGATACAATCAAATTTAAATAAAGACCACAACATACACTGGAAAACCAACAATACCTTCAGCTACCTACCTCACTAACTGCTCAACTGCATTAACTAATTTACCCCAGCTTTCCCTCCCATCTTTAAGTAGCCAAAGATGTTGATTGATTGGAAAGTGATTTTCAAACAGGCCAATCAAAGGGTGAAGAGGCATTGCAGACATACATATAAATCTTCCATCCACCCCTAATTTCTTTTATCTTGGATAAAGCTTCTTTCTGATGAGGTAGCTGATATCTTTTTGTTATAGTGCTTATTGGGGTGAATATGGCAATTTTAGCTTTAAAAAAGCATTTTTTTTTTTAAGGGATTTAAAGAGCAAGTTTTAGTTCTGTATCATGTTTACAGGTAGCATGGTGTTTTTTCTATACTTGAGGCTTTTTCTGTTTTGTAGCAATATTGTTTCATTTTAGAAAACAAGTAAGTAGCTTAAAAGGGGAGAGGGAGGTTCTCTGTTCATAGTTTTATATGACTTTTCAGTTCTCTAATGTATGTAGAGCAGGAGAAAAGATCATTTACCTGTATGTTATTATTATTATATACTTAAGATGGACATGTCAAGCTTTCTATGAATTACTGAGTCTCTAGTAAAATTTTTCCTAGTTTTATCACTTCTGGAGTGCTTTGTACTCATAGCACTGAATTTCTGTGCTAAAACTACTTCTGGCTTAGGGCTGGATTGTGCTTCATCAAGGAGAAATATGTGAGAGTGCAAAAGTCAATAGCACCAAGCCTGGCATTGAACCAGAAGGGTTTCTGCTAACTCATGCTACATCGTTGGCTGTTTGTTCCCAAATGGGCCGGCAAGTGCCTCATTGCCTAACCTGCGTAGAAGAAAATGCCCACTATATTTAAACCTCGAGAGCAGCTTGCACCCTCTGTCTGCTGTAGTAATTAATCTGCTTTGACCTTCCTGTCTCTGCTTGCAGATTAGATGCTGTTTTGCTGTCTAGAAAGTGCATGTGTCTTTCCAGGGATGTTGCACTAGATGCTTGATTCTGCTCATTATTGCTCTGTTAATATTTCAAGGTTCTTGCCTCCTGCTAATCCAAGTTGGGTGCAACAAGTCTCCTGGGGATTTAGAAAGGGCAGCAAAATGGGTTACCATGTGCAAGAGTTGTCTTTAAGTATCTGCTTGTGGGTTACAGAGGCCAAAGTGAACCCTTGAGGAGCATCACTACTGACTCTGGAGATGGTCGCTGGCCTGGAGAGTGTGTCTTGAGATGTGGCATCTGTAGGCCTGGAAGATGATGGTGCTTTGCTCTGGCTCTGCTCCTTGGTCAGCTGTGTCTGCAGGGCAGATGTCCCAAGTCTTTCAGTTAAAAGATGCAAGGTGCTGAGCCCCGGTCCTTCCTCACCAATGGACTGTTAGCAGATCCCAATGAAGCCTTCCTCCTGGTTTTTCTGTGAGCAACCTGTAACTATTACTGTGTGGTAAGTGCTAGTTGAATAACTTCTACAAATATTTCTTATTTCTTTTAGGCTGCACTACTGATGGGAGGTGGTTCTTCTGCTCCCCCCCTCCCCAGCCGCTGAAAAAGCTAGCCAGCTCAAATGAGCTGAGTCTTCTGGTGAAAAGCAGCCTGCTTCCTAGCTCCTGTGAATGAAATGGCCTCAAACAGGTGACCTGCCTCCTGCCCTGCCTGAGCAGCCTTTGCTCGGGGAATGCAGGCCCTTGCTGCTCCTCACCCTCTCCCAGCAGTAACAGGGATGGGTGACTCACCAGGTCTTCTGCCCCTGAAAGAACCCGCCGTATTTATTTAATAAATAAATAAATACATAAGCAGAAGCTCTCCTGGCCCGGGGGGAGGTGCCTGCGGCGCCCCACTGAGGAGAGGGCAGGGCGGCGAGGAGCGGCCGTAGCGAGGCCGGGCGGCGGAGCGAGGGGGCCGGGCCTGCCTCCCTTCCCTTCCCGCTGCAGCCCGCCGGGTAAGAGCAGCTGTTCCTTCTAGGCCGCGCGGCAGCCGCGGCCTCGAGTAGCGAGCGGGCGGCGCGGGGAGACGCCTCGGCCGGGCGCGGCTCTACGCGGGGCCGGGGCGGAGGGGGGG